AGGTAGGTACATTACGAATTCAGTTTAAGTATTACGGTAGGGGAATGGGTGCAGCTGTAGAACTACTAACAACTGCAGCTGTTATATATTATATTGTACAGTGGCTATGTACAGTCACTGAGCCAGATCATGTCCCAGTTTTGTTTGACATATTATAGCTTTCTACGAATTCTAATTATGCACTGCTAAACCGTAAGGCTAAAGACACGCCAGCTAAGCATGGATCTTCCCTAAGCAAACGGTGCTTCCTTTCTGAATGGATCTTTTCGACCATTTCTGTTTAATGAGCAGAAAAACGAATCCGGATAAAAAAAAAAAAAAAAAGCAGCTCAAATCAGCTTTTCTTTTTCTACATAGTGTTCATCTTTCTGAAATAGGAAGATAAGGTCATCCTCACCTAATTTAGGTTGACCTCGACGTCAACCCAGCGTTACAATTTCTTTGTTCAAACAGTTTAGGGTGTTTTTTGGAAACTTCGTATGCTTCAAAGATGAACAATCTCCCATTTGTCACTATCTTTTTAATACGTACTATACTATTGCAGCTAGTAATACGACACGAGCGACTGAAGCAATACCTCTCGTTGGCATGGCATTATCATAAAAGAAAAGTATATAAAAGACGTCGGCACGCTTTGCAGCATAACCTATATTAAATTGTCTTCGATTTTAATACTCATTTTGATATTCTTTCTTCAATGTCTTACCGATCGACGAATTGCGTTTTTTCGCCTAATGATTAAAAAATGGCAAATAAACTTTTTAAACAGGGACAATTACTATTGGGCCCTTAGCCCACACTGTGTTACCCGACATTTCCCGCGCTTCTACTTTCATCGAGTTCCAGTTCGCCTTCGAATTCGTAGACAGTAATAACTCGTGATAAGGCGTTCTGGCCATATAAGGGCTTCCAGCGGAGTTCCAAAAAAAACATGGTCATCCTAGTGAGTTATAGCTGACAGGCAGAAACGAAGTAGCGGGAAAAACCAACAGATCCAGCGGGGTTAGATTAATAACTTGCAGTTTGTTTGAGAGGAAAGTTTGGCAGTGGATTGGATTGCCGTACTGGCTGGCACTTTAGTCCGTGTTGTGAACCAACATCTCACTACGTGGCCTTATCCAGGGATTCATATCAGCTGTGTACTCAGCGTATATAAAATTCTTCGCTTCTTTCTGCCGCTGGTCGAACGGACGTAGCCAACGCAAGACCTACGTCAGCATAGGAGAATGCAGCATAGGTAATGCAGCGGATACCGACGTAGACGGGCTCAATACTATTCTAAAGCTATGCTTAGTTGTGTCTGCTGATAGCACGGACGAGTATTTGAGAAAACAGATACGGCTCTAGCAGGTCACTTTTCTCTTTGTGGTATTCCACTGCAATTCACTGACAAGAGAAGGTATGACTATCGGCTGCGACGAAATGAACTCGCGTCATTGTTCACACTGGTAAAAGACGCAGCGGTAGCGGGACAGTCGAAAGAAATACACTGGGTAAACCCCCAGCCTATGTACTATTAGAAGATATTTGGTGAACATTTTGTTAATTGATTATAATAGAAAAGAGCGAAGGTTGGTGGCTAGGTATTTAGAACAAGTTTTCTTTACACTTCGTGTTTGGACCAGAGAGTATCTTCGTTTCAAAGACGTTGGGGTCTAGCTCATGTCAAGCGCCATTTTCGAAATTTGCAAAATAAGCGAGACAGGGCGCCAGAAAAGTACTGCCTGCGTTCCCAAGCAAAGCGGTAGTGCTCTACGCGAATCCCCTGTCTTTGATCCTCGGATGCTAGTTTAAGGTCACCAAAATTTTGCACTCTCTTTCGAACCGCTGCCGTTAACCCATTCTCTAGGCGTGGTGATTAATGTAGCCAGCCTATCTTCGATTTCTTTCATTTTAACTTCCGGTAAGCTAGAGTTTCCAGAATTATCTTTAACAACGAAAAATAACTAAACCAGGCATTTCTTAGTAATGTAGGCGTTAAGGATACGGAAAGGTTGAGCTCTTTGAAATTGTTTATATTTTTATTGTCAGTCCGCGTTTGGAAAGATCATCCGCGATAAAGTTCTGAAAATTTACCCCAAGCTGGACTGTATTGTCCCTCAGGGCAAAACTGCCTGAAATATACAGTCACGATGGATAAGGCATGATTTAACTTCTATTGCCTACTGGGGAAGAAATAAACGAGAAAGTCTGGGAAAGAGATAGAGTTCGTGCGGCAGCGTCGAGTAGGTTTGTTTGTAAGGTAATGGTAGTAGTTGTAATGGAGACCACAGACACCTGGTGTAATGAAATACTCGCCGAAAATGAAACGATGCGTGTCTCGCGAAACCTAGCCCATCGAAAGCACGAAGTCTTATTTCTTAATAACCAGACCACATCGTCATACTTTACATGTTGAATATCCACCGTTGGTTTCAACTTGCCTATTCTCTCGACCCAAGTCAATGTCACTACGAAGCCTTGCACGCCCTAAAAAATGCAACTGGTGGACGAGTGTATTCCACGATCGATTTACTTCGAAAAGTCATAGATAGAAAACATAAATATGGAAACGCAAATGGTAAATATATGACTGTCTAAAAGCTGCCATAGCGCTGAAACATGTATGTAAAAACTAAAGGAGATGATTTGCAACGTATATTAAAAATCATCATTTTAGCTTTAATAATTCAAAATTGATTATTAAGTCTAATTGACTTGTAACAGTCTAATATATACTATACATTTATGGAATCAATCTGCAAAAAATAAATAAACACGGTAGTCAAATATATGAATGAAGCATAATATCAAGTAATTCGTATTAGAGGCAAAGAACTCAATATTTTTTTTCATTTTTTATATGCTCCACACTTTAATAAACACCGTGGGAAGATGACACTTTTCTGCCACTGATTATGTAGACCAACCTAAGACCACATATTCACTTGACTCAACTTTATAAACACGCGATCCACGCTTGTTCTTGGAAGTAAAACATAATAGACATATATGATGGAGCGACGGACCCGTAAAAACAGTATGCAACGGGTAAATTAAATGGCCAGGTTTGATAAACCAGACAATAATGGCATTTCTAGTTTTGGCGGTAAGGATATACGGCAGCATACGCAGGTTGGCCGTGACACGATTCAGAACCACAAGTAGAAGGAGGATTCCAAGATGCAAGGCCACTAGCAGCTCTTCGCTCTGTTCAATGACACCGAAACGAAGCGACGCCCTTAGCAAACTCTGCGGGGGAGCAACGACCATAAGGAAAGGGAAGGCACGACGCAGGACGCCATGGTGTAGGAAGTAGCCGCAGTATCTACAGCAAGAACATGAGAAAACATTACATTAACACGGCACTATGCGCTGTATCTGCTTTTGCTGGACTGAAAGACACCCACGAGCAAATGTTTGGGTTGTGATTATATTTTTTCATCGTCGTGGCCTATATATGTATATACAATAAAATGAGGTACTCTCAAAGCTATCGCCCAACCAAAGGTAGCTAGTCCCCATAAATGAAAAAGGATACAGAAATTTTACAATATCAAGTTCTTTCAAAATTTTTAGTTTTGTCTATGTTCAAGGTTACGATGTAGTCCTAGTATTGATAAAATTTGAGATTATTATCATTACAAGTTATCTTCATAATACCAGATCTCCTGTTGCTTCTGGGGTCTGGGATCGCCCCGAGAATTCGTTGATAACCATTACGTCAGATTTTAAAAAGCAAGACGAAGAAAGGTAGCACCTTTTCTGTTTCCACCGGTAATGATTTAGCATAATACTGTCACTCCATAGCTACAACATGCACATCTTTTTGTTTTGCATAGAACTTAGTGTTTTATATGGCAATTCTAGCTCCAAGTACCACACATTGTAGAAAGTGGGTAGAAGCGCTTTTCGCGCCTCTTATTTTAGTGACAAAAGAGTGACGCGCTAACCGTACAAAGTAGATGCCGAACGCATGGCGTGTCTAAGCTTCTCAGCAGCCATATGTAGCGGGAACATATGGGAAATACATTCACATAACAGGTGTTCTCAAAAGAAAAACTGCCCACTTTAAGAATTGGACTTATAGGGTTGCACTCGCTGCATAGTGGTCTGTGTGCATTTTTCACCTGGGTCACGCTACACACACACACACACACACACGTATATATATATATATATATTAGGAGCAAAAATTACTTGACAGTGCGGAAGCCTTCATTAGATAAATCCGCTCTCTATCGCACTAATTTGCATATATCGTGATTTTTTTGAGAAATATAATTTCGTCCCTTGTATGCCAGCAGAAAATGGACTAGACATAACGAGTCGAAGTTGAGGGCCCGATATAAGTCTTCTATGCGTTCCCCGTATCATACGAAATTCTGCGCATGAGCAGACGCTCATGCGCAGAATTTCTATAGACTCAAATGACCCGGGATAAAAAGGATCTATTGTTAATTTATAAAACAGCGGGAATACAGCGAAAGAAACAGTACGTTTTAGCAGTCTCCATCAGTCGCATGTCTGTAGTACGGGAGCAAACCGCTATTACTATCGTAGGTATTCGCATTATAGAACTTCTACAAGTGGAATTGGACCACTATTGAACGTAATAGTACTATTTAACTGTTTATGAGATCCATAACTTATTCTCTTAGTTTTGCATTAATCCAACTGACCTATCGAATAGTGCTTGAGAATCGTTTTACCTAAAACTAGGGGAAAAACACTATGCAATTACATTGACATGGTCTATTAAGAAGCACAATAGAATTTATAGAAAATTGTTAGAAAATTGAAAAATACTGAACGAATTGTGTTACATTGCCAATAGCGAGAACTGACGTAACTCTGATATACTGTACAGTAGCAATAGATCGAATCAAACTTTCAAGTCAAAGTTTCGTCTATCACTCTATGATTACTAATAATATAAAGTAAGATAGCAGAAACAATATTGTTGCCTAATGGGTTATTTCTACAATAGCTATTATTTCATTTTCCTTGCAAATGCTTACCATTTCCTCGTCGACAGTCACAGCTGTCGCGTAGGCCCATTTACCCGGGAAGAACTTGCTGAACTGAACGACGATCGCGCTGCCTAATAAGCTATGCCCCTTCTTTTTTCCTCGGAACCTCAGCTGTTCGGCGCCAGTTAGCGGCGAACTCAACGACGGAGCACACAACATCATTAGGCTTGAGATAAACTGTGTCGTAGAGTGAAATGGGGGCTGCTGTTACGTTTGCCCCACAACGCAACAACTAACGTAAAACTTTAGCTTCTTGTCTCTCTGGTTTCAGGTTGAACGCTGTTAGTTGTACTTCGAACACTGCTTGTCTGTCACTGAGCCCGATAATATGTGTATTAACTGCCCAATCTACCTCGTTCACGAGTTTTATGCACAGATGCTGCAGCCGTCTCAGGTTATTAAGGGTTCTCACCTAAAGTCTTCATCTGATCAACAGAACTCAACTAGAAGGCACACATATTACCCAGTAATGCTAGCACGTGTGCGCACTCCACAGAGTGGTCACACCACATTCTTGACTGCGCTTATATTACAGCCCCCAAACTCACTGTGGACTTAGATTCGCCCTAGGAACGCGAGGGGAGGCGCTGTCGTCGCTTCTGCGGAAAGGGCAACTAGTATATGGCACGAGGGTGAGAAGAACCGCAAAAAAAGGAGTGGCATAGTCAGGAGTCAGTGGCTAAAGCGGGGACAAAGGGGATTGTGGGCAGAAGATGACGGTTCCCTAAACATGCTACCTTCAGCCGGTCGTTCGGTCCGTCTATCTGTTGGCCTTTGAAAACATCGAAGGAGCACGAGGCAAATGCCGTCCGAGCCGTAGGAGGAGTGAGAAAAATAGGTGATAGCGGGCCGGACGCGTTACGATAAATAAAAGAATGAAGCTGTACTAGCCCATTTCCATGCTCCGCCACTGCGGCGAACTGCAGCTATGTACCATTCTTGTGAGCCTCAATCTAGTCGGGTTTGATGTGACCTACTAAGCGGCAGGATTAGCATCATCTGTGCGGCGGAGTGAACGGACAAAACGAGCAGACGCAGCAGAAGCTCCTATCCTATATCATTGGTACTATTACCCCTATCTACCCGGTAATCTATATGGAAAAAGGAGATTTAGAGGCAAAGGTTCTGGGGTAGTCAAGGAACGGTCTCACGAAGGTTGTATAGCGTTATTTTTGCCACGTCTAGAGAAGCTTAAGGTGGTTGTGTCTGCTTAGCATCGGCTTATGTTGTACATTGCCAAGGGGTCGTGCGTCGCCAGGCTGCTACCCCCAAAAGAATAAGGCATCAAAATAGCGTCGACACTGAAGAACTACGAACCGATCTGGGGGCGCTGTTATTGCCGTGGCGGCTCCTTTACAGGAAAAACAAAGAAGTGAAACGTATAAATAGATTAAACAGGCTAATAAATTTCAACACCTGTCGTGTACACATGTGTGTACGCGTATGTCCATAGCATTAAAGATAGTTATCAAACAAAGGACCATCCTTTGAGGAGGTTGAGGTAAATTATGCTTATTATTATTAGTCTTTTATGGCTTGAATCGGTAGCGACACATTTCGTTTCACTATGATGTAAGAGTAATACTAACGGTAAATATGTCTCGTGCATCCTTTACAACAATTACAATATTGTTTCATTTGCTACATTAGAAAACATATAGGAGTTGCAACGAAGTGTCACTGTGTAACTTCGGCTAAATGTCAATGCGCTGTGTCTGATGGCAGGAGGGTTCAGGAAAGTACTACTCAATTGCCTTGTCATCACTACCATTTATCACATTTGTCCCAAATCACTACGTTCAAATCGAAGTTAGCACGTATTTTGAGCGTTCAATCTTCTTCTGGGCTAATGAAGACATGGATTCGAAAAAAGCCAGTGCGGATATGCTGCTGAAAAATATGATAAATATTGATCAGCAGAGTCAATAAGATGCTTTAGAAGGGAGTGGGTTCTTCAAAGAAAAAAAAAACAAGCGATATTTTTTTTCTAGCAAAATGTTGATTCTGGACAAAGTTTTCTAGAACTGACGACAGTTAGAAAGCGAAGTTAAAAAATATAAACAATAAGCTTGTGGTTATTCCAGAATCCATGCAACTATTCAAGACACGCTTTACCTAAGAAAACTTACAATAAATCCGTGAAAAAAATCAACACATTTAATTTATCTATTGCTAAATCACAGAATCGGAAGACATATTACTTCGGTGCCTACCCACATGATCGACACGGCTGCTAAGTTAAAACTCAGGCCTATCTAGTTTGGCCTATCTCGTTGCAAGAACAACAATAGCAGAAGAAGAAACAGTATCAGGCTGAGCTTTTTAAGTTCACTCTTTTACCGTTTGTCGTTATCATCGTCGTAACCAAAATGATGATAAATCATTGCGCGCTGTTTGTGCGCAATGGCTGTAATAGGTGATTGGCTAAGACAGAACGCTCGCGCGAACAAAAGAAGGCCCTTAAAATGCTTTTTGGCTGCGTACACTATTTAACTAGAGCTGGTAATGAAAGTTAATAAAATAAAGTTATGATAGCATTAATGTTAGCTTTACAATGCATACTAGAAAATAAGGGTTACATCACCTTCGTATGGGGGCACCTAGCTGAAGCAGAATCGGCGAGAATGTAATGAAGACTATGGAGTCTTGGTGCGGCTATGTGCTCTTTGCAAGCTCCCTTCTACGAACAGTCCATAGGCAGGCGAAGAGGAATTGTTATCATAACTACAGACATAGTACGGGTTATCCTCAATTCTACAACCGACGTAATCAAACACGAAACTGCCGAAAATCATGCGGGAAAACGTGTCGAGCATATATGAAAATCGAGATAAAAGTAGTGGTATTAATCTCAGTTTTATTCCAGCTTAGAACTACAGAGTAAGCGAAATACATGTAGTTTATATGGGTCCCTCAATTCTGTCAATATACTTAACATACGAATAAGGCCTCGCATAAATCAAGCACTTATTTTAATATTGTATGAAATTACTAAACCAAGGGACTAAGCCTGTTCCACATGCGTAGTAAAAAAGAAATGTTTTTTCGACTGCTGGAGCCCTAAGGGTACTGCAAGAAGATAGTGGGAAAAGGATTGTTTTCGCGACGTAAGTCCTGCGTGACAGCACATTGTTTTACGCCAATTTGCAGCAGTCGTCTCAGTCTTCAAACGCCGAGCATTCAACCCATGAAAACTGGAGAAAACCAGCCGCCTCTTTAATAGTCTGGTGGCTTTTACGTAATTTTTTACGTAAATTTAAAGTCCGCCGATTTTTAAAAAAAGATTATGTATTTTTAGGATACGAAACAGATTCGAGCCACATGTTTACTCCATTACATTAATACTCCATAACATATTGCTAACTTATAACCAACGGAATTATTTGCTCCCGCACAGTTCAGGAGGCAATGTTCGTTACTTTCCAGAGCTGCGAAAAGCTTCCGATTTCGGGCGATAAAATACGCCTTAGACCGGAAACGAAATGTCACGGTGAAGAACGGTCTCACAGATGTCTCATCTCGTGGCGTATATTTATACCTGTTGCAAACTGGTTTTTCAAATGACATCTTCAAGAAATTGCGCTTCGATCGTGCTGTTACAACGCCAAACAATACTGGCGGTCTGAAGTTTTATGGCAATAATGCTAACGATTTTGGCTTAAAAATTTTTTTCGGGAATCGCTGAATTACCAGTCGTAAAGATAACTTAAAGAATCACAAAATTAGATCGTCTCGGATGAAACACAGAAACTGGAAAATAGGAGGATAGTCCTGAGCAGAATTGTTTTATTACGTCTTGCAGAAGTTAGACGATAATGTCTGTTGTAGAGTTGAGCAACTTCTGCTTGAGTCCAGCATTAGTAACAAGCTACATAGATACTGCAACATGTGACCGCGATCCACGTTATATACTGGTTCTGGGAAAAGCCTAGAAAATTAACATTTCTAACATAACTTATAACTACACCGCCATAATTTTTTACCTAACTTAACCTAAAAAAATTTACTCGGAGTGCTGCGATTCGCTTGTGCTACACGGGTAAACATGGCGCAAAACGCACTTTTGGTAACTTCCGTTTACGGGAATAGGCTTTCAAAAGCATCATTATTTAAAGTGAGAAGGAACCCTATTTTCCAAATGAGCATTAGCCACTTCTTGTTCGATATTTAACGTTTCAAGTGTTACTGATTAGTTGGCTGATTCTATTTTATACAATAATTATAATGGACAATTGAAAATGAAAGAAAAAGCACTAGACATGTTCACTTTGAACAGTTGTCGGCTATCTAGCATAGTGTTAGGCTTATTCGGATACCCTAATAGTCACCATTGGCACTCGCACGTTTGAGTTCAGCAACAGAGGTAAAAAAAAAAAAAAGGAAATCCAACTGGGCTGCACTTTTTTGGATCTTCTAATCTTGAGATTCTCGCAAAACTTTTTCAGAACCGCAAACTAAACAAGAATACCTACCAGGATCCTGGGTTACTCTGCCTTGAAGTGAGTAGGTTCGCCATCGGTCAAAAAGCTGTCAAAAACGTGATAAATAAAGAACACGCTTTCCAGTGGCTTGTTCTACTCCGTGGAAGTCAACAGTTCTATATATATTTTAGATCAGCTATCTGGTTTCGTCCGGGACCTATTTTACTTGTAGGAAAAGCGTGCCTCGGAGAACTTTGTCAGGTGGTAAAGCCTAGGCTGATATACTTTTTCCCAACCGAAGGCGTATAGGCCCTGTATATAATGAGGACGTACTTTGTGGAAGACAAATGAAGAAAAAACAAGCGGACGTAAGATCGTCGACTAAAGATTAACGTACCATTCATCATCCATAGATATGAGTAGTACTATCAGCAAGATCGTTTGCGGGGACTGAAGTTTTTTTCTAAGGTAAATAGAAGCTAAGCCTTGAACGCTAAGCTCATTGGTTCAGACTACGATCACGGTGGTATCATCGCGTTAACGCGAATGTGAATGTGCGGCGCTATTGAAAAACCTTTCCCAGCGAATAATTTGCCTGCGAACGAAGAAAACGACGAACACAAATGTTATAATATCTTTCTATTTTTGTACAGTTACACGTTAACATGGCAGATTTTTATAACTTATCATGGATACGTCATTGATGTAACTGCTTAGCTGGAGTTTATTCCGTTGCTTTGTTCTAAGTAAAGCATATATCTTGCCCATTAGTTGGCTTCGAGCAATTCGTTTATGCTTTTTATATTCCTTATCATTTCCTGATTGAATTAAAATTACTTAGCCACCCACGATTATCTGCGAAATTTTACTGATGCCTAATATCCCGTCTGCTCGAAATCTGCGAAGGTCGAAAGGGTAAAAAGTTTAACGTAGCCGATACAAATGAAAACAGCAAGCTGTTCGTTATTCCCGAGAAAGGACATACATTAGTACGTGAGGTCCTAAAAGAACAGATTTAAAATCAAAGTCAAATAATTACGAGATAAGCCT